ATAAAAAATTGTTAATTTCAAATTAAATTTTTCATGGTAATTATAAAGGTTCCAAGATATTTAAGCACTATAAAAAACTGGAAAAAATGATTTTCTAATATATTTTTATCATTTCCATCTAGATTCAGTTTTTTTTTACATTTTTAAGTAAATCAAGTTTATATATTACTAATAATTGTACTCAAGGGAATTCACACATCTTTAACCTATTGTGAAAGGTTATATTTTCTCTAAATGTTTGTACTATGAATAATAACAATTATTCACCTTTTGAACTTTACAATTATTGATTTGGTTTAAGCACGAACATGAAGTAATTTCTTGAATATTTGCAGCAAGCTATAATTGCATTTGTACATTGTAACAATAGATTATCTTTATGTTGGTTTTAATCGAGTTTTAAAAAAAGATCATTTAATGATAGATTACAGCTAGGTTAAAATTTTAGGACTGAGACTCTGGAAGTTGGCCACACTGAAGAAGTTGAGAGCACAAATGACGTGACCAGCGTCGCTTCATACCCTTCGAGTTTGGTGATGGTGAAAACCACTTCGGGTAAAAACGTTATATTAAAAGTAGTTCCACAGCAGAGTGACTCTGATGTAAGTATCTATAAAAGTTGATAGATTTTGTTGAGATTTTTGTTAGGCCCCTAAAACTTTCCTTTTGAAAACTGCAAAGCTTATCAAGCAACAGTCGGCCTCGCCGTGCGAAATTTTACCAAAACAAGAAGTACTTGAGGAAGTTGAAGAAGACGATAGTCAGTTGCAGTACGAGCAAGTTGAGGAGCAGATTGAAGAGCAAGTGGCGTATTGTGAAGACGTCGAAACGGAAGATGGGGAGGTTGAAGAAGAGCAGAATGTTATCGAGGAGGGTACATTTTTAAATGAACAGTTGTTTGAGAACGCGATGGTTGCTAAAACTTTTGATGATGAAGAAGTGTTTGTAAATGAGGTGACCTTGGAAGATAACGTAAATGAGGTAACAATAGCAGGTGAGGTCACAGTAGAGGCGGCGTCGAGCAATGAAGAAGACGAAGAACAGCAAGAACAAGTTGTTATGCTTGAGTAATAACACACTTAACTAATTTATTTATTGCAAGTTGAAAATAATCTTCTTACATGTTATTGTAAGTTTTTTTTGTACAATGTACAATTTCTTTTATAGGATTTGGATGTAATTAATTGTACCCGAAAGTCAACATAGTTAAATAGAATATTTTTTATAAAACTTTATTATTTGGTTTCTAATTTAATCGCTATCCTTAATTTGACATGTGCCGTACATTTCGTCAAGTTGTTAACAATAGAATACAAAATATATCTGAAAAAAAATAATTTAACGTATTGTAGAAATACGTGATGAAAATATTGCCCAGCAAAACAAATCATTAACACAAAATTTGTTTTACTAACAATATTTTATTTTGTAACAATTGTTTCGAACGAGAACAAGACACTGGCAAAATTATTTTTCAATCACAGACATGCCACTAGAATCTAGTTCGCCAAATTATACAAAAATACAACCTATACATTTAAAAACCTGGGTTAGGCAAAACCTCTAATGTGGTTTCACAGGATTAGAAAAAATAGATTTGTTACGAGGTGGTTCAAAAAGACGTCTACGTCCAAATTGTCTAGTCTAACAACTTGTTAACCAACATTGATTTTAAAAATGCGATCATGCAGAGAAAACTCGGAGGTTACAGTGCACGAAGTCGGGTCTTAGGCCATTAATGTAGTGCTCTAAAAGGATGACTTTTACCCAATTTGAAATCCAGGAAAGTGAAGCAAAATTTCTAGTAAAATTTTGGGGATACTAGATTTATTGGCTGCGACAACCCCAAACATTCAAAATTTTGAATAGACGTACTTATTTATCTGTTGATCTAGTTACTAGTGTCTTAATCCAAAACAAGGTAACGGAGGAGAAACATGGTTGCAGCAGAGAGTAAAGCTGCTATGGGCACTGTTATCAACCAAGCTGAAATAATATTCCTAAAAAAAAAAAAAACAGTAAAAAACAGAAAACTGTAATTAATACGCACCTAAATAGGCTCCAATCTACTCCTTTTTTCGATGAACTGAAATAACCGACGAAAACAACTGAACCGACTTTGCAGTGAGTGGTCGAGATGGGTATACCGATTTTGCTGGCTAGTAATACTGTGAAAGCTGCACCAATTTCAATCGTAAAACCACTACAACACACGAAAAAACAGTGACATAAGAGTAAAAATAGGTGTAGTCATACGTTGAGGGGGTTATCGTGGTCAAATCTTCTCCAATCGTTTGTATAACTCTCCTCCCCCAAAGCCACAAACCGACCGAGATGCCAAACCCTCCATATAACAAGATATAGAGCGGAGTTTCCGCTTTTTGGTGAACTGTTCCCTCGGTGTAGATGAGCCATAAAGTTACTAAAGGTCCTATTGCGTTGCTACAACCAAGCCAGTTGCACTTTTGTTATAATATTTCGCGTATCAAGTACCTAACATCGTTTCCCCCATGAGCAAAGCTGCCAAACATGGCTGTCAACACTTGTAAAAAGCTGAACAACTTCGATACACTTTTGTTTTCAACGAGGGTGCTTTCGTTATCTTTGATATCTAAAGCGCACATGCCTTGGTCACTTTGTGTTCTAGTATTTTTATTAATAATTAAGGGAACTCCACTCGAACTTGGAGATAGAGTTGGATTCACTTCATTTGTACTTTCGACCAGTTTTAAAGTTTTAGGTCTCGTGTGAATTTCAGTCTCTTTAGCCGGCATGTAACCATTTTTGTTGTCATTGGTTTGCAATGGGAAGATGTATTTAGCGGCTGCGATTTTATTCTCCATGGCTTGAAGTTCGGTACTTTCAGATATTACGGTTAATTGACGTTCGGATAAAGCCGTTGAGTTGCGATTCGATCTCTTCGGACTGCCCTCAGGGGACGTATCTAAAAGTTTTAAGTAGAGAAAATATTGTATCAAGTGATTGCGTACCTGTAGATTCGCCAATGTTGAAATTGACAGCCGGCTTCTCGGCCAATAAATCGGCTTTGATATTTCGTCTTTGCCGAGGAACCACAACCAGCCAGATAAAAATCATTGTGACAAATGCGATGGAAAGACTTATAGTAGCCGCCAACCAGAACGGGATATTATCCATGTACAGTAATTTAGGACCATCGTGTACGATGGAAAAAACGTTAACTAAGATCGTAAAACTGTAAAAAAGGGGCAACGAGAAGAGTCCCGCTTCTAGAGGGTCAGGTTTCGACAAAATGAAGTATTTTATAATCAACAAAATGCAGACTGAAGTTACACCACTGAGCACTGGAGAGATAAACCACGACCCCACTGGAAAAAAAAACATGCTCATTGTAGTTACGATTATTACTTTTATTGGCTTTTTATTAGATCTATTGTTATTGAGGTTGTTTTTATATTCATTGCTATTATCCAATTCATTTTGTTTATCGAACTTAGTTTAAGTTTAGTAAAATTTACGTTAGCTTATTCATATTTATTGGATTTGGTGTTACACAAGGTGAACAGAAAGTCTGGAACCAAGCCGTTTTTTATCATTTGCCAAAAATGTGATCGTGTTTTAAGAATGAAACTTTGTTTTTAAGTTTAAGACAACATGTGTTGCCATTTGAAAAAATAAATAATTTTGCAGAACTTGAATACAAAAAAGAATTTCGAAAAATTTTATTCTTGGGGAACGTCACATTTTTTTATCATTCGTCGATTAGTTTTTTTTAATAATATAGTTTAAGCAAAAAATGTTTGATTCCATACTTTCTGGTGTTCTTAATTATACAGGGTGAGTTTACTAAGAGTATATTTTAACTTTATATCAGAAACTTATAGTCACACAAGGTCAGCGTTTGCCATGAACAACTTTGTATTTTTTTTTGTACATTGAATTTTTTCTACTATACTTTATAATGAATAGTTATTAATTAATTTATGTTAATTCGGTGAAGAAAAACGATAATTTGTATTATTTCTAACGCCATTCTAAAACACCCACTACTAAAAAGTTGTTCTGTGCAAAAGAAATGTAAAAAAATGTGGATAGCCGCAAAAAATAATTAAATTTATTCGTTTTCTCAGACACATTTTGTGCAGCATTGCCACGTTGAATATTTCTATAAGTTTGCAATGGGCTGGATACCTACCCTTGAACCTCTTTGCGAAAAATGGTGTATTTTATTGACTAATAAGTCTTGAAAATTGTTTCGAACTAAAAGAAAAAATCTCAATTTGTTTTTATTTATTTCTGAATTTAGTAAAAATTCCAATTACTTAATGTATGTACCTACAGTTTTTAAATTAGAACTCAGAATTCAGATTTATTGATATTAAGAATATGTATTTGTAATCAATAAATTATTTTATCTACAATCACTCTATAAAGAGTCTTTATTCCAAACTTTAGATGCGTATAAAGTACCACTTTATCCAATAGTGGAATAAAGTAACTTTATTCCACTGTTAGTAACCAGCGCACCGCGTAACAGCTTACTACGTTTAACCGAAAGCACATAATTTGGGCCTGTGATTGTGGATAAAACGTTATATTGCAGTGATGTGTTAGTCGCGTTTTATCCACTTAAGAAAATTAACCGCTCGAACTGACGTTCTCGCGGTTAAACATTCTTTCGTGGATAAAACGCTACCTAACACACTCTTACAATAACTATCCACTAAATTAATAACATTTTCAATCAACGAATTATTTACAATTGACAATAATGATGATAAATCTTCGAAAGACGTTTTTTTCTTGCCGGCACAAATCAAGCAGAGAATAATAAAAGTTTCTTCGGACATATTTAATATTTTTGCAGGAAACTGATTTTTTTTACGTAAAGTAATTCGAATTTTTATTAATTCCACAAATAAATAAAAACAAATACAAAAATTAATAATCCGAATCTTCAAAATGAATGCCAAAATCACTGTCATCATGGGTTTCCCCCAAATTTAGAATTAAATCTTCCAAAATATCCTCCATTAGTCCACTTTTATTCCAAAAATAAAAAAATCAAATATTTAAAAGAAAAAAATATCAGATTAAATCTGACCGCCTTGGAGACATGTTCATTGGTCTAATGGACGGGGCAGATAAAAAGTAATAGCTGTTCCAGTATAAGTGATTTTTTCAAAAAGGTCCCTTTCAACATTCGTTATTTTTATGAATTATTGATTGACACTATCAGCTATTTTTTTAATTTTTTTGCACAAAACTTTTTAGCTTCCCATGTTTTAGTATATGACATTTGCAATAATGTAACTTATTTTTTTTAGAATAAGTTATAAAATAATAAATTAATTAAGATTAAAAAATTAACGTAATAAGGAATAGTTGAAAAAATTTGCATGCACAAAAAGCAATGTTTTTTATGGCAAACCTGATCTTTTGTGATTATTAGAGTTTATTAAAGAATTTTTGATATAAATAAGTTAAAATATACCTACTCATAGCAGACTCACCTTGTATAATAATGTATAGAGATTTTTAAAATTGTGTATTTTAATTAATTAAGTTAATTCGTTTATGAGACGCTATTTCTTTTCTGTTGAGTGTGTTAGCTATTGTACCACCTTGTTTTTCTGAAATGTCTTAAGAACAAAACCGGTAAAACACTCAGTTATTTTGAGTTCTCTCACATTTCAATTTTCCAAAATCGGTATTTTTTTGAGAATTACTTAATTCTGTAAGGTTGTTCCATAGTAAATAGCACATTTAGTATGAAACAGCCCGATTTAGGTACCAATTTTAGCCAGTGTGCCCCAGTGCACGCCTCTGGTCCCTCTCGCAACCAGACTGTAGCCCACAGTCGCGCCTACTATACTGTGGGTCCCCGAAATGGGCAATTTGAAGAACGTTGCGACCATCAGCCAGACGGCACTCGATGTCAAAGCGCTGAGAGAGCCCAACATGAGTTCGACTTCGGCGTCATTGTAGACTTTGATATCTAGGATGCCCTTCCTCATGGTGTCCGAGACCTTGTAACCTTTCGAGAGATCAATTGGAGCAATTAAGTGTTGACTAAGTGTCATTACCTATGAGAATTGCGCCGGCAACTTCGAAAACCGTGGCCAAACAGCATGCCTGGACTATGGTGAGGACTTTGGAGCCCACGCTGGTGCCGAAGGAGTTGGCCACGTCGTTGGCTCCGATGCCGAAGGCCAGGATGAAGGCTATCACGAATCCTACTACCACGAGCCATATCGAACTAGGGGCGTAGGGTTCCAACATTCTTCTGATTGATTAGAGATGGATGAGATGTTAGGCTTTTTGGACACTCATCATGCGGAGTGAGAGCAGCCTGGAAAATGCGAAACTGGGATGAGGTGTTTGTCAATCGGCTTAAATAGTCTTAAGGTGACGTCGTAAATAGGAAATTAACGGAGGATGTAATTATTATTCGCAAAATAGTGCGTCGTTTATAAATTTTTTGACTTATTTTCACAATGCTTGGACTTCAATATAACTCATCATAAACGTGAGATCAAAGCTTGTGATAATAATTAATAAAGTTGTAGTTTTAACCGCATATGAAGAGTAATTACTGTCCTTGTTTGGTTCACATTTCCGCCTCATATTTCCTTTGAGCAAATTCAAAATTAAAATTTTTAGCATCAGGGGAAAATTAATTGGACATTTAAAAACCTGTTACAAATTAAGTTTTTTTACGACTAATTTTATGTTGTTTTCTTCAAAATTCTTTGATAAAAATGTTTCATTTTCAACGTTAGTAGCAAATAATAAACAAAAATTTCATATTAAAATAGTGGTTTTATAGCATATTCTAGGATTAATAGTGAGTGTCCTTCACTGAAAGGCTAATTAAATTTTTATAGGTATGAAAAAAATTCATTGTAAGTTTAAATTTTTTTAAGTCAATGTTGCTTTGCTGGTTTTTTATTGAAAAAATATCAGAAAAACGTTTGTCAAGTCTTGCGAAAAAATCTAATGCTATGGCCTGTTTTTTTGCAACATCTGTTTGAAATTGAAGTGGATTGTTTGTGTAGTTTTTGAGAATTATTAATGCTAATCAACTTATTGGAAAATATTTTTTTGTTATTATTTATGCGTTTTGCTTTAACAAAATTTATGTATTTTTGCACCAACAAAACTGAAGTAGAATGTCACCAACATAACTTTAAAAAAATGACCAAAATATGAGAAAATAATAATGGAGGATTTTCACAGTTTTCATAGTTCATAGGATAAAATTATTATCTATAAAATTTGGACATTCGATTTTCAGCTGATAATCTTTTAATTTTCATTAATGAACATGGAAATAAATTAGCAAAGTTGCTATTTAAAACGACACTATTCCCTTATCGTGCAGATAAATGTGTAGAAAAAAAGTAGTGTTGAACGAAAATACATGTTTCATGCTGAAAAGCCAAACTTAATTTCAGTTTCCAAAAGAAAAACACGAAAGTTTGAGTTTGCTGATTACTGCACTAAACTTATCCTCTCAAGTAATATTGCGAATTATTTTGTTTTCGGCCGACAAAATCGATAAAAGTATACAAAAGCAAAAACAAAAAGGCGAGACTTTGGTGAGCCATTAAACAATTAAATTCAAACTCTGTAAAAGTGTTTTTTCAGTAAAACATTGATAGGCCTATTCAAAAAACGTTTTTTTTTTATTTCATTAGAAACAGAATATACTTGCAAAGCATGCAACTTATACACAAACTTTCGCAATAAATTTTTGTTTGAACTGAAAACAGACAATTTAATCCTCCCGTAGGTTCGTGTATCATAAATATTTAACAACACAATTAAAGCCGTGTAGTAGTTTGTTTGTTTAAACTCTTGCACCCGAAATTTGGCTCAGGGTGTAAAGGTTTTCTCCGTGAAATCCTCGACTTTTAAATAAAACAATAAATTATTCATTAGGAAAGTTTAATATATTATTTCACAAAAAAAAACGAGAAATTTTGAAATGTTAGAGTTCACCTCCCGAGCGCCTACACTTGTATAAACATTAATCTTTTTGATTTAAAAGAAGTTTCAATGCTTGTCGAATCAAAGTATGAAAAATCGAGAATATCAGTAAAAGCGTGTATTTTAAGGAAATGATGTCAGCGTTAAAGAGGCTTTTCAAGCACCGGATCTAATATTAACTATCACCCAACTTGTGAGTTTCCCATCACTTTAAATAAAAAATTCATTCCGTCTGAAGTCTGAGCTTTTAGGCGCGAAATTATGATGAAATAGGACAACAAAATTATCGATTAAGACAAAATAAACAACATCAAGTGTGAATCTTACTTGTAGAGCTTCACCAGCATGTGGACGCGACCGTTGAACAAATTTCGAGAAATATAAAGAAAACGACTATTGATTTTGCAAGTGAGCGGCAAAGGCACGTGTTGCTGCAGCACAACTGCCATGAATAAGCTGTCGCATGCATTAAAGTCTCAAAGGGTGCAAATTGCTGCAAAACTAGCTAGGAAGTGACTACAGCACTAAGAAAGCTTTTCAAGCGATTCGAAAATATATTTACTTTTAGAGCTTCCCTGTGTCGGCGACGACGACGGCGGATTTCGTCATTGTTCTATGACGCCATGTTAAGGGGAACGCGCCAGGACGCATGCCATCTCCAAGGGTGAGGATCAGGACCGGATTTAGCAATCCGGGGGTGAAACGGAAAATTCGATCGGGGAGCAGAAGCCAGCAGATGAACTCGTTACTTTACACAAAAAAGGTGTGGAGAGACTAATTAATGATTACGAGGTGCAATTTGCTAATTAAAGCGTGTCATCGCACTTAAAAAAGAACTAGTTTCGTCTATTTATATAAAAATATTTGAGATCACTATATCAACACATTGGATAAAGGGTTGTTTATTTTTTTCTTTATCTCATTAGCGAAAATGAATGAGAATAAGCGAAGTAAGAGAACTGGTACTAATTTGTGAAGTAAAGCTTGTTAATGGCCTAGTAACGCATTTAACGGCCGTTAAGTGGTGGCGGGAGTCGAGTAACCTAATGCCTTTTACGTATTATCTCTTAAACATTTTTTTAATAATTGAGGAAAAAGTGGAGATATTGTAAGGACATATTTTACTTCAAAAAATATAATATTTAAACTAAAAGGTCATGCTACGACCTGTTATTTTATATGTACCATATTTTTTTAATCTGCAATAAGGCAGAAAAAGTATCAAAATGTTTAGTTTCTGTCAGTCTCTTAAAACAGTTTTATTGGAATTTTTTTTATTGTTGATTGGTTTTTGTACACAAAAATGACAGGACATAAAACACGTGTTATAATACGAGTAATGAATGGGAAAATTTAAAAACTAACGAGTTTCGTCTTTAGTCATATGCTGAAAAAGTTAACAAAGTTGGTAACTGTAAAGATAAAAATAAGAAATGATAAATTAATTAAAAATTCCGGTTCAGTGGTTTAGGTTTTTATTGTTTTACGTTTAAGAATAAACAAACCTAATAAATGTGCATTTTTTTGAGTTTTTCATTTGTAGCAAAAACAAAGTGTCTTTCAAATTAAAATTTTTTCGTTTTGTCGTCATTTCAAGTGGTCATTGTAAAAAAAAACTCATCTGAATGTATATAGAAACATTTAGAAATCGCTTAAGTATAATGATCAAATAAAATATTAATTTGTATTTTTTATTTTGTGTTTTGGAATAAATTTATAACTATTTTTCTTAATGTCGTGATTTTGACTTTTCTGAAGTTAGTCACCTTAACGCAATACAATCAAATTTATAATTTTTTTTGCTAAAAGAAATATAGGAAATGAATAAATCAATCATTTTTAATTTTTGGACACATCTAAAGAGAATAAGGTTTACTATTTTATAACTGTTATTAGAAGTCAAAAATGTCTTAACGACATCTGTTGAATAAAAATTTGAGTCATCTTTCTACCTACCTATACCTAACTCGTATACAGGGCGATTCAGATAAGATAATGAGCCTGACGATCTGGCGATGCAACCCAAAAAACAAATTTCATTTACGCCTTTGATCCAATTTCAATTAGGATTTGCAGATTGAATCCAAGTTATCACCTTGTGTCACTCTGACATCAATGCAGAGAATAATTATTAGTGCCATTCAGTTCTCGCGGAACGATAGAGAAGTCAGAGAAGTCTTTTCGGTGTAAACCCAATACAAAATGTATGAAAGAATTAAACATTAAAGGTAGGGAAACAGTTTTTTTTTATAAATCATAAATTGCTTGTCAAAGCACTATCAGAGCAACATAAGATAACTTGGATTGCAAATGCAAATCGTAATAAAAATTAGATCAAAACGTAAATGAAATTTGTTTTTTGGGTTGCATCGCCAGATCGTCAGGCTCATTATCTTATCCGAATCGCCCTGTATAAAGATGATGAAAATATTCCTTTTTTTTTCACACAAAAAATTAATCAAATAATTATAAATAGTAAAAAAAAGACGTTGCAGAGATTCAGAGTTTTAAACATCAACAGATTTCTGAGCTAACACCCTTTATTTGAATTCTGATTTTTAAGATAGGTAAGTACAGTTGGAGACAAAATACTTTGGTCGTCAATGTCACTTGAGTGACATTAAATTGTAAAGCATGCTTTAGGACTGTTAACCTTATTTTTAGCTACTGTTAATCATAGTTGACAAGTTTTTGATAGGAAAATATAATAGCTGTCATTAATTTAAAATTGTCATTCATTTTAACGTTAAAGCTTGAATTACATTAAAGTGTCAGAAAAGTGACGACCAAAGTATTTTGTCTCCAACTGTACTGAATTTTGTAATTTTTTAAACACATTTTTTTTTAGATGTAAACAGATTGCTACTTAAGTATATTAATTTCGAGTGTCGATATTAAAGGTGCTAAAATTGATGAAGGAAATTCTGGACAATATAAGTTATTGTAATAAATACATATTATTTTTATTTCAACAAAACTCAATTTTAATTTGAAAAATTATATTATATTAAACATTAATTAAAAGAAAAGAAAGTTAGTTTGTGTGTTTTTTTTAACCATTTAAAAGAAAAATAATCTTTTTATAGGTGCGAACAAGACACACTCTTTTAACATGATTTATTGACAACTCGGCTCTTTAAAAGTACAATGAAGTTTAAACAAATACAAAACCAACACAAATTAATCAGGTAATATTAATAGAGTGTGTATAAGAAAAACACTTAAAATTATTCTTCTGTAACAAATTTAGGTAACAAAGCTGCCTCCAAATCGGTAATGGCCTTATCTAATTGCGAAAACAACACTTTAATTGTAGAGATTATATCATTGTACTGTTGCAACGCACTGACAGTTTTTTTGGTAACTTCCTGACTCTCTTCAAATATTTTCAAATTTGACACAGCTAAACTTTCTAATTTATCAGTCAGCTCTGTAACTTTAATGACACTACTTGAGTCGGTGTAAGGAGTCAGACTCTCAAACGTTGAAATCAGTTTAACTGTGTCTTTCAACTCGGGGTACAATTCCAACAAATAGTGACGCTTAGCCTCCACTTCTAACTCGTTTTCTCCATTACTTGGATCAAGATACTCATTGATTGTTGTCATATGTTGTAAGATGGAGGTGATTGCTTCTCTGCAACTTAAAGCCGAACTGATCATTGTTTGGGTTTGGAGTAACAAATCGGTGATTTCTTGGGTCTTGTCGTCGGATGTGAAATTGGGGTTTTTGGGGAGAATTTGCAGCTCGAGGGCTGCAATACGTTTCTCCAAAACGTCCAAAGAGTCCATCTTGGCGATTAACCTAGAAATGGACGAAATTAGGTTTCATGGGCAAAGAACTTTAACTAAATACCACGAAACGGCGTTAACTTGACAACTTCTTAAAGAACTTTTGTTGACAGTTGGATGACAGTTGACAGGGGTTTTAGCGCTTGCACCATCTGCTGTTGGCAGTCAAAGCGCGGGAATTTGAAATTATTTTAATCAGGATAATTTCTTTAGTTTTTTTTGCGTTAAACGAATTGTAGTCATTTAATGAAAGTCAGAAATTGTTGTTTAGTTTATTTAGATAAAATTTATCACTACAACACTAACGAAGGGAGGTCTGTTACTACGTAATAATAAAAAATGTATTTACATGGTCTTTACCGTCACCGATGCTTGCATATTGGCACAAGAATGTGTGACTAGCGAAAACGTACAAAAAAACAAATTGTATTTTTTTTTCTAATTTATTGGACGGATTTCGACCTCGAACTAAATCAAATAGAATTACGTAAGAAATGAAATGTAACGAATAACAGGAATAAAATAAAAATAATAATAGAGTAACTTAACTATACAATATTTACAATAGTATTAAAAATGGTACCAAAATACTCGCATAACGGTATTTAAACTTACTCTAAACCACATACTACAAATCGGTTAAATTTATTGACTAGTTTCCACTTTTGCGTTCAAGTAAAAATGGAAGTTAGTTGTCTTCTGGAATGTAGTACTTAATTGAGCTAAATATGATTATCCGTTAGAATTAATTTATAAAACTAGTGTATATTACAGAGTCTATACAAAATCACGATTATGCATTCCTTGATGGTTTTTGTCCTATCGTATTTATCACCCATCGTCTCATTTTGTCATTTATCGAAGTGTAAATTGCAGGGTGTTTACTTCTTGCACAGTTATCGTGGTGGCTGAGGATGCCCTGTAGTTCCCACGTGCTGCTGCTGTCCGAGAAGCACATCAAGGGGGCCCCCTCATCATTCTAAAAAAACAATTAAAAAATTGTTTCCTTTCAGTGAAAACAACGTACATAACACGGGGTTTTCTCAGAATCTGTATAACCAGCACAGATTTTGTCTTTACTCATCAAACCATTGTAGTGTTTGGTCGAATTGCACTCTTTTGAATCAATTATTGGAACTGGTAGATAGTGGAGGTACTGATTTTTGTTTGGTTCTGCAAAAATAATTTTAATTAAAAGGCAATAAATCGCATTTTAGTATAATTTATTACCTCCCGGTTTGCTGACACCCCAACCGGCAATCACACATAATTGTCTTGGTTCTATATCTTTGTCAGGCAAACACATAGCACTGACATTTCTGGTCATTGTCAGAGGTTTGCTAAGCTCGACCAAAACTGCGTCATTTGTAAACTCAAACTGCGAATATTTGGCCTGTGGGTGTGACACAATTCGTTTGATTTGCTCCACTTGTGTGGTGGAATTGTCCGGATTGCTGAAAAAGTTGGTACTTCCAGCGTACAAAATCCAATCATTTGGTACCGGAGGACGTGAAGAACTAAAGATGCAAGAGTGGCTAGCCATGGCCCAAACTGGGGTCAAGAGAGTGGCAGTACATTGGAGATTAAGTTTTTGGTTGTAGAGAAGAGTCAAAGTGGGCCACTGTGAATCAGCCCCTCGATTTCCGCCAATAATACGAGCCGATTGTACGTCAACACTCGAATGGCTTCCGCACGCTAAAAATTCATTTTGTTACAAAAATTTTAAAAACTGGTAAAGACCTACAAAATTCTTGACAGGTGATTGAAACAATGAATTCGCAAGTATCTGCTTTTTGGAGTTGTGACAATATTGGCGACTTTATTACCGCTTGTGGTATCAATTTGTAATATTCCTTAAACAAGCCTTCAGGCGCTTCTACCGATTCTGTGGAAACGGAACCTCCGTAGCCCATTTGGCGGCAAACAAGGTCAGAATGGGTTTGGTTCCAGTTGTCGGAACAAACAGGAGACCATGTAGTGTTCATAACATTGACCTGAAAGTAGTGAGTTAGTTGTGTTCCAAATTTTTGTACAAAACTGACTTGTAAATATTTCTTGTCTTGGTCAAATCGCAGACAATTCCATTCATCTGACTTATCAGCACAATCGTCGATTCCGTCACAAGTTTGGTCTTTTTTGATGCAACCTCCACCGATGGCACACTTGAATTCGTCGCTTGCACATTCTAGAGTTCAAAAATTATAATGATTTTTACTTTTTTATATTTAAACACATTGAAATTTTAAAAAGGATGATAATAACACACTTGTTACATTCATTTTGTTTTTATTATTTTACTTACCGCAAGATTTCTCATCCTCAGCATTCATGCAATCGGGCTTGCCGTCGCACTTCCAGCTCTTTGGTACACACGTATTTTGTTCTAAACACTGGAATGAATCTTCGTTGCACATCGAAGGACAATTAAATTCGTCTGAACCGTCAGGGCATTGCGCCCTACCATCACATTTCCAATGCACTGGCAAACAACGGCTGCCTTGGCCGCAAGAAAATTCATCGAAACGGCAAGTCCAATGTTCTGAAACAAGATTTTGTTCCTCTTGCCACATTTTTAAATGATTTAACTTACCACAAATGGCTTCATCACTACCGTCGTTACAGTTCTGGATGCCATCACAAACAAGGTGTCTCTTCAAGCACTGGCCACTGGCGCACTAAATTCAGACATTTAATTTTGTTTGGCTGTAAGTGAATTGAAACTTACTTGGAAATTGTTGGGACACCCATTTTTGACACAGTCGATTTCATCAGAAGCATCACTGCAATCGCCAACAGAGTCGCAACGGTCATTTTCAGGGATGCAGTAACTGCCGTCTTTGATGGAAGTACCGTTGACACAATGGAATTGACCAAAACTGCATCTGGTGAATCCAGAAATTGAAAAATCTTCAGTTACTGGTTTAATGTCACTAAATGGATGCGACTGTTTGTCGTTTGGTACCGAAGTTTTTAAAATTTCGTCGTTAGTGACAGTGGTTATCACTTTTTCGAGCTTGACTTTTTTCTCAAATTTGGGTTTTTCTTTATCGAAATAATTCTTTTTGTTGATTGCTTGCTTGGTCAATTCTGGCCCCAATTCGGTATTGGTGTCAATTTCGTCAGTTTTTATCGTTGTAGAATCTGAAATCTGATTCAAGTCGTGGTGATATTTAACAATGTTGTTGTGTTCCTCTGATATATCATTAAGACTGTCACTATTTTCCGATTCAAGGTTTTTGGCAGCGTCATGAGTAACGCGTTTTTCGTTTGTTTTTGAAGTTTCAGATTCTTCTTCCGGGTCTAGAGGAACCACAGATAAATCTTCATTGGATTTTATCGCGATGGGGATATCAGTGGTACTTTTTACAGTTACAAAGAATTTTTCAGTTGTGGTAATATCCGATGAAGCTTCGTTAACTTCATAGTGATGGGTACTGTTTTGTGGTAACATTGTAGTAGCTTCAGGTGTCGCGCTTGTAACAACAAGAGGAACTTCAGTTTGTGTTACATTACTGTCACTGTGATTGTTGGCAAAGTGAACCATTTCTGTTACTGTGTCCACAATTTCAGCTTGGACTGTTTGGTTGTGAATATTTGACGATTCGGTTACACTATCAACAACGATATTTCTATTTTCGGCCACTTTTCCTACATTAGTTGTCGTTTCTAAAGCAATCAAGTCTTCAGTACTTGTACTAAACCCGGTACTGTTTGACTGCAATGCTTTTTCAATGTTATCAAAATAAGTGTTACTATGAACATTATTGATAATTTCGGGGGGTAAAGTACTGATTGTTTCAGTCGTGGTTTCTGTCGAATTTTGCATAACGTTTAAATTTTCTGATCGCATAGTAGTTGCAACTTCTTGTACTTCAACTAAAGGTTTGAGGGTAGTTTTCGCAATAATTTCATTTTCGTTGCCTCCTAGAGGTACAACTTTGAGGATTGTATCGTTTTGGTTATTTTCTTGAGGATTTGTAACGTTCATTTGATCATTATCAAGACGAGGGTTTTGTAACACTTCAATAGTTTCATCTTCTTGAGTTTCATTCTGTATGTGTGGTATCACATGTTCGCCTAAATGCAACTTGTTAACAAAGGTATCATTATCGATTTCCGGAAGGAAAGGCGACATGTTATCCATAGCACTTGTATTTTCGGTACTTTCAACAACAGCAACATTAACTTGAGTACCGTTTGTCACTACTTCAGTCGATTGTTCATGTTGTTGGTCCATTATTTTGTGAATTTCGCTAAATATTTTAGTCATATCGGTGGGTTGTGCTGTAGTTTCAAGTACTGTTGGTTCCGTAGTTACATTTTTCACCAACTGTGAGTCTAGTGTTACAGATTGATCATTAACTGTAATTGGCACTGAAAGAGTTTCATTTTTAGAAGTTGTACTATTTTCGACTTCTAGTAACCGAGTTTCGCCATTTACGAACACTGGTACCAACATGTTATCATTCACTTGAGTAGTAACGAAATTTTCAACTTTTGGTGTAGTTGTTGCATCATTTGTTTGTTCGACTGAATTTAATAGAGGAGTTTCAGACGTTTGCACACTAGGTCGACTAGTAAATAACTCAGTTGTGATTTCACCATTTGCCTTCATTGCTTGTGTAGTTGTTTCAATTTCGGAAAATATTTCATGGTTTTTTCGCGGTGTTGTAGAAGTAATCGCAGAAGTGTACTCTCTTACAGTTACCGGTTCGTGAATCTTATTCTCTGAATCGCTTGATACAGCTTCAGTTTCGGTCGTATGAATCGGTGTTAATTCGGTTGCAGTTTCATTTGGTGTGGTGTCACTTTCAACCATTTTTGTATTTTGAGTTGTAACTACTAAATTTGTTTCAGTAACAACTTCAGTTTTAGCAGTAACATTTATTGGTGGTAGGGTAGTTGTTGTAATATCTACCACAGCTACTATTTTCGCATCGTCGTGGTGTTCAGTACTGTGTTCCAAAGCATCAGGTGCCGGAGTGGGTTCAGCAACAGGTTCACTAGTGTGTTCAATAACATGAACATTCTCAGTATGTGCAACAGGCTCGGAGGCAGGTTCTGAAATAGGTTCCGAAGTCGGTTCAGCTACAGGCTCTCCAATAATCTCACTTGATTTTGTAGTTTCCATTGGTTTCATTGTAGGAACCATCTCGGATGCAGATTCAGTTTTATGTTCCACAGTGGGTTCTAAAGTGGGTTCAGGAACCACTTCAGGTTCATGAAGGAGAATTGTTTCAGTTTTATGTTCCACAGTGGGTTCTGAAGTAGGTTCAGGAACCACTTGAGGTTCATGAGCAAGAACAGATTCAGTTTTATGTTCTATAGCGGGCTCTGCAGTGGATTCAGGAACCACTTGAGGTTCATGTGCAAGGACAGATTCAGTATTATGTTCTACAGCTTTCATAGTTGTTGAAACTGGTTCAGGTTTAGGTTCTGCGGTTGGTTCTGGTTCCGCGTTAGGTTCACTAGTGGGTTCAGCTTCATGGAAATGAACGTAATTTTGGTGAGAAGGTTCTTCCGGTTTATGCGTTGGTTCAGGTTCTGATGTTGGTTCTGGTTCAGGCTCAGAGGTTGGTTCTGGTATGCTATGAAGGTTATGTTGATTGTTAGTTGGTTCAGGTTCAGATGAGTGTTCTGGTTCAGATGAAGTTTCAACGTGATGTTCATGATCGTGGGTTGGTACAGGTTCGGAAGTGGGTTCTGGTTCGGCTGACGGTTCATGATCGTGGCTTGGTTCAGGTTCAGAAGTAGGTTCTGGTTCGGCCGAGGGTTCAAAGTGGTGGTGGTGATCATGATCGTGCGTTGGTTCAGGTTCAGATGTGGGTTCTGGTTCAAAGTGATGGTGGTAATCATGATCGTGCGTTGGTTCAGGTTCAGATGTGGGTTCTGGTTCAACTGAAGGTTTATTGTCATGGTGGTGATCATGATCATGTGTTGGTTCCGGTGTTGTGGTTGAGTGAATATGTACATGATCAAATTCAGCTTCAGGTTGAACCATTACTTCATCAGTACAAGATTTTTGGTCATGAGCCAAATATTTTCCGGTAGGGCATGAACACATGAAGTTTGCTGTTTGATAATCAAAAGAACAATTAAATTCGCATCCATTATTATCAATTTTGCATTGATCGAGTATTCTATCTACAGTGACAGTATTATCGGAAATGTGATAATCATTCAAGAAACCGTTATTTTTGTCTAAAACATTTCTTATTTTCCTTTTCAACATTTCTTCATCGATGGGATCTTTAGGATTATGGATGCCGTCTTTAAAAACCCACGTAATTCGATATTTTACTACTACACTTCCGGAGCTGAAATTAAAATTTAGTTGTGACAAAAAAAAACTGATATAAAAGTCATACGCAAAATCCATAACTTTTACTTCGACATCTGCAGCACCATACTTTAACATATCACTAGAAAATAAGGAATTTTTCAGTTCAGTCTCTAAAGCCTCAGCAAGAGTTTTAAATTCAGTACTGTTCTTATCGGCCAAGGCAGGAGTAAACTCAAGATTATCTATCACTATTTGCGATTCTAAAGCCCGAGGAACTAAAACAAAACATGTATTTTTGTCTCTTTTACTTTTTTTTTCACCAACCTTGTATCATTGAAGTCTCAGTAGTTGGTAACACACTCGAAACAGTAACAACAGGAGGACCCGGAGTTAAAGGAGTTTTTACTTCGGGAGGTATCGTCGTTTCATTAACTATATCTCTGGGAAGTCCAAAAATTCCCCCAGCGGCTTTAATTTCCGGCTCACTAGATGACGATGAACCGAAATGACGCGCACTTACTTCTTGTCCTGGCGGTCCTTGATTACCAATTACACCAACTAGAAACGAGTGAAATTTATTTGCTAGGTAAATGTTTACACACATGGTGAAAGGGAATTAGAGGACAATTGAAGAAATTTTGACAAGAAGCTTTTAATCTCACCTGCAGCTAAGATTCCTATGATAACAGCGGCAGCGACGATACACAGGCAGAGTCCCCAACACAAACACTTGTTTCGCTTCTTCTTATTTCTCTTGTCCATGGTAACATATAATTTTTCTCCTCTGCAAACAAGACCATGGTAAAAATGGTTCGAAGATCATTTAAAGCGCTACAGCACATTTGTTACTACTTATGATGATAAGTGGTACATTGTGAAGCTGGTGTTAATTATTAAGAGAATAACTCTACCAGTTATCATCACTCTGTGGCGTGAGTGTTAAGGGCTCTAGCGTCTAGATTATATTAAACCAACACCCAGTCATATCCACCATACACCAATGCTCCCCTATGTTGTTTGTACTTCCGTTGAATAAAATTATTGATCGAGATCGTCATAAAAGTTTAGTCAATAGTTTTATTCAGTTGTGGTACCCGAAATGGTGTCGTGGTATGAATGAATGTTGGTACCGTGTGTTTTCAAGTGACGTCAGCCAGTCGGGGTATTCCACTACACCCTGTTCCGGGGCTGTTATGGACAGTCCGGCATTGTCAACTCCGGATGTAGTTATCATCTCGGCAAAAGTGACGCTGTTGCGACCTTTTCGCGTTTTGCTACAGGAGAAAAATGTTTTACATGGATGCAAACAAGATAACAATGGCATTAATACGAGTATGCCGGTGGATGATTGGAAATCTGCTCGTCTGATGGAATATTGATTTTTTACACTTCGGAATGTTAAACAATGAAAGCGAAAGCACGAAATTAACAATTACTTTTTTGGGCGCGTACTTATAACACTTTGAAGATGTCAAGTACTTCCTGATGACGGGTTTTTAGTTTCTACCTGTCGTCGATGTACCAAAACGTGACATCATTTTCGGGTCTATGATTTATCGAATTGCCACAATGAGAGTTATTATTAAGCGATGATTGAGACTTTCAAATAAAAGTGGACTACATTTGTACGCTATTTGAATATCGTGATCTAGTGAATGTCGAATTGGAAAAAATGAAAAGTTTTAATTAGGCGATGAGGAATTTTTTATTTTTTTTTATAGACGTGGCAATTTACAGAAATAAATTCATTAAAATTGATGGCTTTTGTCAAGTCGAGTGTTACACGACTTCTTGGGATTGTGCAAGTTTACGTAATAGCAGAAAAGTGGAATTTATTTGTTACAAATATTACTTTTTTTGGAAAATAATACCTTGTGGTTTATGATGTCTCCACCAATGTGAAAACAATAATGTAATTAATTATTATTGTTAACACCTTTCTGAAATGAAATTGTCTTTTAAGTGCGTGAAAGTCGTCTTCCTATTATTGTTTATTTTGTATTTTTAACATTTTTAAATAAACTCAAGTAATTTTTTCCATTTTCAATTCTGTTTTATCTAGGTACTTAGTAAATCAGGTTAGAAAAATTTTGTAGATACATGAATATTTGTGTAAATAATGCAATAGATATCTATAAATAATCTATAAATAATTTTTGTCGTAATCCTTTTTTATGGATATGTTCATTGTCCGTATAAATTATTCACATTTTAGCGAATATTTTTAAATAATAGATAAAATAAAACAGTAATTTCGTAATTAATAGCCATAATATGGGCTATGTTTTCTTTTGTTAATCATAGATAATTAGATACCTAATAACGAAAATAATGAAACATCATTAGAATAATTAGATGATAAAAACTTTCACTACTTATGGAAAATCTACAGGAAAATTACAACCAATATTTTCTCTAAAATACTAGGTGTGTAATATGTTTTGGTGTTCAGTTGTAACATTTTACAGGGGTCGTTTTAAAATTTAATATACAAAAAAAATGTTTTCTACGTATGAAGATTCAATTTTTACAAACATTTTTTCCTTAAATTAAAGAAATGCGATTTTGTATTTTTTATGTTTATCAACAGGGAAATTTCTTTTCTAATTGAAATATAATATAGGATATATTGTTTTATAAAAAAATTGAATTTCTGTAATATTGCTTAATTTCCCTTATAAATTATTCTAAACAATAATAATTCAATTTTTCAAAAATTATTTATAATAAAATATCAAATCAATGAAATTTCCTGATTAAATAAATCAAATTCCCCTCCAATTTGAATTTACTAGACAAGCATACTTGTTTACAGAACATAAGTTTTCACGGCTAGAGTCAGATTTTGAATTTGGTTTCACCTTTGGTGTGGTTGACACGTTGAGTTACTGTGCCATATACCCTCATGTTGCCCCTAAGAAAAGTGGGCTAAACGTCGACTCTATTTCCCAAAACAACGTAGTTCTAACCCAAAAAGACCTAGATTTCAATACTTGTTTACTTTCACCCCTTCATGTATCATTTTGTAATATAATATGTATACTGAAATTTTTAGAGCATAAAATAATTTGTTTTTCAAATTTATGAAGGCAAATTAATATTAATTGTGAATATAGCTACTAATTTTAATTGGGTTTATGTCATGTTGATAATTAATTTTTTCTTATAATGTATCAAGACTAAAAAAACTAAAAACATTTTTCCTACGTCTTTAACAGAAATTAAGTTTTTCCACCCTAATTTCCGAACGAAAAGTGGCCAATTACCTCCCTGGAAGTAAAAAATGTTCCTCCCTCATCTGTCAAAATTACATTAAAAATATATGTAACCTCTTAGAAACGGAAAAAATGCTGCTAGATTAAATAGCGAAAGTGGTATATCAAGAAAAATTGTTATTTTTGAAGCTTTTTTTCGCTGGATCGTAGGAAAAATTATATCGTACATATGTATTACACTCGAAGAAAGTGTCTTTTTTTCCCTTGTAATGTTTTATTTCTTCTACAATCTTTGTATGTTACTTGTTGTAGCAATAAGAGTATAAAATGTAAAGTCTTAATTTTGCCACCTACAGTGTGTTATTTATTTTGGACACTGACGATAAAAAACAAAGCGTTGTAAAAACATGTTTTATTCATTATATATTCTAAACGGTATATGCGAGTCAACGCAAAATTATTTATTAATCTAAAAATTTTGGAATGCTTCTTGAATACTTATCCTTTTATTAACATTTTTTTAATATTTGTGTGTTTTATAAATTAAATAGTTAAATATATATATATTTTTTTAATTTCTGTTGACACGGCTTGTCGTTGATCAGGAAAAATAACACTTCAGACAGATTAAGTCCGCCCGTATAGAGGTCCCGTCACCTCCACTTTTATTCTCCAGTGATATTGTTCTGTAGTACGTGAGAAAGTTCCATCAGTCTTATTTGATTTTTTGCAATTTCAAACAAAGTGATGCTTTGTATAGTGAAAGAAATATTGTTTTGTTAATACATTTTCCTGACATGAAGTATAAATCTATCTAAAAGTTAAAGTTGAATCTTTTTCAAGCAAATATTTACAAAGTCTGTTTGGTGCAAGCACAGCTTAGTGCCGGAAACTCGTAAAACCGTGAATTTGCTTTCTTACCTCATGTATTTTCGGTGTTCATTGACAGGAACGAAATATTCATCGTAGGGATTGCCAATTTCTGCATCGTTTTCTTTCTTCACCGGAATGCTAGTCATCCCGTTAGTACCATTTTCGTAAGCACCTGTCACGTCTTTTCCCGCAGGTTTCAAATTGATTAACTCTAGATTAACAGCTTCAGTCAAAGGTTCCTCATTTTTGGTCGGCGACGTGAGCCCCAACATCGCTGATGAGTTCAAGTCTCCATTGTATGGCTTATTATTATCGAAAGTCGACTTGACTTCCGGTTTGTACTCTTCTTCCTGGAAAGCGGGATTATCGACTCCCGTCTCGGATTTTTTCCTTATCCTCGGCGATTCGTTCAGATAACTCGTGCTTTTGTAATTCTTGCTCATCTCCTCTAAATTACTGTGATGCTCCAACGTGTCATTAATGTTCAAATTGGCCGTCGAGAGGTAATGGGGCTGTTTCGAGGTCTTGTTCTCCTGGAAATCCGTCTCGTCGTAGTTGACTGGAAGGGTGATTTCGTTCTTGTGGTAGAAATTGTTAGGTTCTTGCTGTTGGGTGGCGTCATTGTGGGTGGTTTCGAGCGAGGAACTGTTATCATGGCCGGAATGGGAGTCTTGAGCGGTGTCGCTGCCGCCGTAGCTGCTATCAGCGTCCATATCTGCAAAGAGAGATGGGGTCAATTGCAGCGACTTTCACTGTCTGTTAATGCCGATAATGACTAATTGTCAAAATGCAGCGAAAAATTCCTTTCTCCGGGGGAAGGATGAGAGGTATTGGGTGCAAGAGATGAATGGAGAACGCATTTCACCTGTTGTGGATCACCTGAGGGGCTCGAGGCAGACGAGATGATGGACTCTCACGCCCGAGTCAACCCCGAAACACACATTCTTTCATGTCGCGTGTTTTGCTCGACGATTGACTGAATTTATTGAGCAATTGGGCCAAGAGCGACTTTGCACGAGAAATTGTTTTGAAAAAAAAATATTTTTCAACATTTCTTAATTAAAACTAACGAAATATAGAAAAATTCTTTGAGAAATTTGTGTACGGCATATTTTTTATTTTAAAACTGATGTTTTTAAACGTCGATCTTTGTATATCTAGCTCAATAATATAAGTAATTAGTATAAAAAATTCATTATTTATTCGGTTTTTTACATTCAGAATGAGATTGTGTTTTTTTTCTTAGTTTTGAATTTTTGTTAAAAGTTTTCATAGAAATGCTTTAATCATTATTTTATTATAAACTGAAACAAATGCAAAACTAAACAAAATTGGTCAAAAACGATTTTCAAATACCTACATATAAAATAAAGTCCAGAAAAAAATAATTCAAAAAGTTCCAATTTTAGCGGTGATGTTAGTAATGTAGTATATTTGCTATTAGTAATTGGCGAGGTTAAAAAAAAACTCTCTTTGGTTGTTTTTTAATTAACCTAAAGCAGGTGAAACATCTGTATGAGATTAAATTAAATGATGATAAATAAACCGCACATTCCTGAGTTGAAACTAAGTCTATGACAAACATCAGAACACAAATAAAAAACAAATTCAATTAATAATAACAATGGGCAAAAGTAGACTTAACAGATTAGTCCAATTACAGGGTTTGCTTCATAAAAATAAATTAAAATTAACTGTTATAAGAAACATTAAAAGAAATTTAAAAAATGGTAACTTATATACAGGATGCGCCAGAACTCGCGCCCCAGAGAAAAATGCCATGTAAGGTAAGATACCAGGTATCTGAAAAAAATGTTAAAGAAATTCTGTATATAAAAATTTCGAAGTTATGAGATTTAAAATTCTGCACTTTGACTTTATTTATTTCTATTGAAAAAATAATTTGTGCTTTTTTTGCTACTGGCTATTAGAAAAGGAAACAAGGAAGCTGTATTCTAAATTGTAGCTCTCTAAATAGACATAAAAAATGTCAAATGTCAAAAAATAAATGTTAAAGTTTTTTAACACATACAATTTTTTCAACATTTTTTCCATATTCTTACTTAAAATTTTTCTCTGGGGCGCGAGTTCTGACACACCCTGTATGTATAAAAATAGCAAAACTTATCATTTAACACCGATCTCTATAATGTAGAAGACAATTTATTTGTGTTTGGGATGTTTTTGGAAGTATAAGAAAAATTTAATATTTTTAAAATGGACTGGAATACACTTTAAAAAATGTCGATTTTTTAAAAAATGAGCTTATTTTATATCTGCGTCTTAGATATATTTCAAAAAAGAAAACGCACAACTGCTGTGCTCGATTTTTGTAGTTTTGCGTTAAAGTAAACGGGGCTTTTTCTAACTGTTACTTGGTAACATTGAACTTAAAAAAACTTCAACAATAGGTAATACATATATGTTTAACAGAACTTAATAGCATCATTTCAAAATTTAATTTACGACCAAATACAGTTTTTCTTGCTAAAATAGCGTTCTGTTCCTAACGACGAATAATTTTAAAACCAGAAATTTCAGGTGAAATTCTCGTGCAACAAACCTAATCGACTAACCTTCTTCTAGTTTTGTAACATTGCAAGTTCTCTTATCACTTCTGTTGTCTGCAGAGGCAGTACATTAAAAAAATGACTTGTGTGAAAGACTGACAGTGACACAAAAGTTCAATTTTTTTTAAATTAACTATAGAAACAGCCTGAAAATTATCCTATATTTACACGACGAAATAGCAAGTGTACGCTTTTCTTTTGAATAGAAGTGTACACGCTTAACCAATAGCTAATTATAGCTATTTTATATTAATAAGATGGCTATAATATAAGCATAAAAATAATGCTATTTTCCTTAAAAATTATTGTCTTAAAAATATCCGCTTTTTGCTTTTACTATGTGGATATACTTAATGAAAGTTTTAAGTAGTTTTACTCAGTTGAGATTAAATGGCTGAGTTCACGCATCTTTTGGTAATACAAAAATAACGTCAAGGTTAATTGATTATGCAAAAAAATCTTATTACAAAATAGTATTTAATTGAAAAGTAGCTAATGTGGTGGCAGTGTAACTTGATTCATTCGCCCTGTATAATTTTGAAAACGTTGAAATAACTTGTGTTACATAAATGTTGAATATTTTTTTGTATCTAGCGACCTACAGAGAAGCGTAAAATTCCATTTACACTTCATTACTTTTGGCAACAATGACAAACAATTCAGTGACTGTTTGAATAACGAAAATTAATAACAACAATTTAGTTTTTATTAAGTTTTTAATCTATTATTCCAGCTACTTCAGTAGCAACTGGAAGCGTCGACCGGCCATCTAATAACAATAAGCAACACAAACAGCTTGCAACAAACACGTTGTTTTTGTTCGCACAAGTTGACTTGCGGCACGTTGCTGCAGCAATTTAGATAAGTGTATAAAAATGACCGACTCGAGAAACAAATAGAGAAATTATTATGTCTACTTGTAACGTAGCGTGGTTTGACTTGCATAAATCTTGCAATTTTTAAAATTTTGGAAATACCAAACATGAATAATGGCGCTATGGGGGGAGACAGATCAATGACTCATTGATCCGTGGTGGGAACCGAATGGCCGACGGCGGGGAAGTAATCGTGTCGGCCCAATTTCGGAAACCGAAGCGAAAAACTGGTCGGCGGCGGCCGTTTTACATGCATACATAAAATCAACGGCAATACGTGACCATGCCCGCCAACGGGCAGACATCCTAAACCCAGCGAGAGAGTGGTTGACCTTGATTATTCCACCAACTGCTCGGTAGGAAGGAAAAGAACCCAACCGTTTCGCCTGTCCAAGAAACACAATTCCGTAACTACCATTACTCATATCGCATACAACCAAAACCACCGACTGCAGTTCCTATGTGCTTGCTTAGTCCATTGTTTCAAGATCGAGACGGTTACTGGACTGAAGAAGAACAAAAGCTCATATACATTTCCTGGCAAACGCGAGCTTTGTGAGAAAGCGGACCACAAACGAATTGTGAACGGAACATATGTTGTTTTAATCAATTTTTTTGAGTACAAATAACATCTTGAAACAATATGTTCCTAATAAAGGACCAAACGAGACTTTATGCTAATGTATGACATCCTACACTTTCTTTCACGAATGGAAAAAAAGTACTTTTATTATGTTTACTAGTTGGAATAGATCAAATACCATCTACGAAATGCAACAAACACCTTTATAACTTTATTTTGTTTGCAAACAATAAAAAATCTAGCGCGGAACTGTTGTTTGCGTAGGTTACTTTTTTCTGGTATTTCTTTAAAATCGAGAATTTTTTTCTATAATTCCTTTAATTTCTACTGAACGTCTGCAAGTTTTGTATAATGGATGATCTAATCACGTCATACTCGATAACTTTTTCAATTTTTGATACTTTTTTAGGTTTGAAATATATACAGGGTGCGCCAGAACTCGCGCCCCATAGAAAAATGCCATATAAGGTAAGATACCAGGAACATGGAAAAAATGTTAAAAAAATTTTATCTATAAAAATTTCGAAGTTATGAGGGTTTAAAGTTTGCACTTTGACTCTATTTATTTCTGTTGGAAAAATAATTTTCCAAGTTTTTTTGCTATAGGCTATTAAAAGAGGAAACAAGGAAGCTGTATCCTAAATAGTAACTCTGTTCAATGTTATTTGTGGCTTTTATTGGCAAAATTTTTGTCCCTTTACTAAATAATTGTAAAAAAACATATACAAGATCATCAGTATCATTAAATAGATATAAAAAAATGTCAACTGTCAAAAAATAAATGACAAAATTTTTTGACAGATAGAATTTTTTAAACATTTTTTTTATGTTCCTGGTATCTTACCTTACTTGAAATCTCTGGGGCGCGAGTTCTGGCGCACCCTGTATTTTTAAAACTGAGCTATATCCTTGTTTTTTTTGTACTATCGGTACCATCGATTTTTCTAATGATGATTTTTTAACGTTATTTCTTCATTTTAATTTTTTCGATGTTTTTATATGCTTCAATACTTTTTGACATGCTTTACTTGGAAAAGCAGTGGTTTTATTGTGTTTACCTTGTTGGAATAGACCAAATATCATCCGCAAAATGCCACTACCACCTTCGTAACTTTATTTTGTTTGCAAACAATACAAAATCCATCTCAGAACTGTTGTTTGCGTAGGTTACTTTTCTCTGGTATTTCTTTAAAATCGAGACTTTTTTCTATAATTTCTTCAATTTCAATTTCTACCGAACGTCTGCAAGTTTTGTGAGCAAAAGTACAATGCATGATCAAATCAAATCATAATCGATAACTTTTTGAGTGAAAACTGAGTTTTAGATACTTTTTTTAGGTTTTTTTAAGACTGAATTATTTTCTCGTCTTTTTACCATCGATTTTTGTAATGATGATTTTTCAACATTTCTTCATAGTAATTGTATCATATTTTTTTCAATTTTTTTATCTGTTTCAATACTTTTTGACTTGCTGTACTTGGAAAAGCAGTTGTTTTATTGTGTTTACTTGTTGGAATAGACCAAATATCATCTGCGAAATGCCACAACCACCTTCATAACTTTATTCTATTTGCAAACATAAAAAATCCAGGTCGGAACTGCTGCGTGGGTAGGTCAGGCAGTTGCAAGGAGTATAATGCACGATCTAATCACGTAATACCCAATGACTTCATGAAAGTAACCTAA